TTGGGAGAAATTTTAGTAGAGAAAATAATAGAAATTATTCCTAGGATGGCAAAAGCAAAATGCTTTTCTTTCCTTTTCATTCTTCCCTTATTACTGACGAGTTTCAACTTTTTTCCTGGCTTTAACTCTTAAAACTCATGGCGTCTATATCCACAGACCTCTTCCCCTAAAGCCTGAACCGATTACAACAATATTATCATGCTAGAAATCTTCATTGTACTTATATAGCATAAGTACGTAACAGTCAACATTTTGAAAATCATACTTACTTTTTCCCCTTGAAAACTATTCTTAACCCAGTAGATTCAATCTGGGATGATCAAAATTCAGTCCTATAAGTTAAAACTTAGAAGTATAATTGCTGCTGTACCTTACTACAAATATGCAATTATCATGTTCTGTGGACTATTACTTTAATTGTGTGTGCATGTGTTTGTTTGTGTGTGTGTTGCTGTGGATCAAACTTGATGCCTTGTGCATACCTAGGCAAGCAATATAATCACCAACTCCCTCAACCTGATGAAGGGCATTTACAAAAATCCCACAGATAATGGTAATTCTTAATTGTCAAAACCCAAATATTTTCCCCTAAGATCAGGATAAGACTGTCTTATTGCTACTATCATTTGTTCAATATTGTACTAGAAGTTTTAGCCAGAGCAATTAGGCAAAGAAATTAAATAAATAAAAGGAGTTCATTGGAAAAATAGAAGTAACTTGTATTTTCAGGTGACATGGTCTTATATATTAAAAATCCTAAGGAATCCACTAAAAAACTCTTAGAACTGAAAAACGATATCAGCAAAGTTACAGAATACAAGATCAGTATACAAAAAGCAATTTGATTTCTAAAACTTTCAATGAATAATCCAAAAATGAAATTAAGAAAACAACTTTATTCACAATAGCATCAAAAATAATAAAATATTTACAAATACATTTAATAAAAATGTGTAACACTTTTACTCTGAAATTATAAAATATTTTTGAAAGAAATTATAGATGTAAGTGGGAAAACATTCCATGTCCATAGAATAGAAAGACTGGTAAGAGGATAATATTCCTCAAACTTATTTATAGATTTAACACAATCCCTATCAGAATCTTGGCCAATTTCCTTTTTACAAATAAATAAAGTAATTCTAAAATTTATGTTGAATTGAATTTCAAGGGAACTAGAATAGCCTAAACGTAAAAAGAAAAACAGGACTAAAGGGATGGATTACAGTGCTAATCAAGAGAGTGTGGTCCTTACATGAAGATAAATATCTAGATCAGTGGAATAGAATTAATAGTCCAGAAATAAACTCATTTACAGTTAACTGATTCTTAACAAAAACAACAGCATTTAAATGGTTCTGGGACAACTTGATAGCCACAAAGAAAGAATGAAATTGAACGTTCACCTCATACCATATATAAAAGTTAACTCAAAATGGAACAGAGAGCTAAATGTAAAGACAATGTTTTTAAAACATTTTTAAATGTTTTCATGAGAAAACATACGAGTGAATCTTTATACTTTGGATTTGTTAAAGCATTTTTAGATATGACACTAAAAGCACTAGCAACAAAAGAAAAACTAGACAAATTGCACTTCATTCAAATTAATAACTTTTTTTTTGTATTGAGGATTGAACCATAGAGCACCTAACCACTGAGCCACATCCTCAGCCTTTTTATATTTTATTTAGAGACAGAGTCTCACTGAGTTGCTTAAGGCCTTGCTAAGATGGTGAGTGAAGCTGGCTCTGAACTCATGATCTTCCTGTCTCAGCCTCCTGAGCAGGTGGGATTACAGGCATACGCCACTGCGCCCAGCTCAAAATAAGTTTTGTACTTCAAGATATACCATCAAAAAAATGGAAACACCACCCACAGATTGGGAAAAATATTTGCAAATCATATATTTGATAAGGAATGTATATGTAGAATATGTGAATTGCTCCTATAATTCAATAATAAAAAGAAACAATTCAAAAATTGGGCAAAGGATTTGAGAAGACATTTCTCAAAAAAAAAAAAAAGATAAACAAATGACCATCAAACACATCAAAAAATGCTTGACTTCATTAGTCATCAGGGAATGCAAGTCAAAAGCATGAGATACCACTTTGCACTCATTAAATTGGCTAGACACAGAGAATAAGTATGGCAAGGGTATGGAGAAATTGTAACCCTTATGCAGTGCTGACAGCAGTATAATATGGTAAAGTCATTTTAGAATCCTCATACACTGCCAATGAGAATGTAAAGTAATCCAACTGCTTTGGAATGATTCTTGGCATTTTCTCAAATGATCAGACATAGAGTTAACATATGACCCAGTCATTCCACTACTAGACATTACCCACAAGAAATGAAAATATATGATCATACAAACTTGTACCTGAATGTCTGTAGTAGCTTTATTCATAAAATACAAAATTGGAAAACAACCCAAATGTTCACCATTGGACAAATAATAAACAAATTTTGGTATATTCATACAGTGGCATTTTATTCAATCTTCAAAAGGAATGAAATATTGATTTATGCAATCACATGGATGAAAACTTTGAAAACACTATGCTAGCTGAAAGAAGGCAGTCATAAAACACCACATAATGTATGATTTCACTCATGAAAGTTCAGAAAAGGAAAATACAGATAGAAAGTAGGTTAGTGGTTGCTTAGGGATTGGGTGGCAAGACAGAAAAGTTGGGAAGAGACCAGCCATTTAGGGTTGACACTCTAGCCCCCTTGCCCTTGTTATTTCCCCTTCACACTCCAAAACTGAGACTGGGATTCCGACAAATGTGGTGTTGCCAGCATTCTTTAGAGTAAATGCTACCTCTAGCATTCTGTGTTTCCACTGAAAGAGAAATGGTAGAAGTGGAAGGTAGCAAGAAATAATTTTTCTAAACCATATTTAATACCAAGAGTATGGCTTATGACATATGGGTAAAATACCCAGGGAGCAACTAGTTAAATCTTCTCACCATAGTGTGAAGCTTACTAAGAAGTGAAGAAACCTCATCTTTACATACCTAACAGTGTACTGTATTCTGACTACAAAACAGATCTGCACTTCTAAAGCACAGGACATAAGTGCTCTGCAGAAAGCAGGTGTGGCCTTAGTGGTAGATCTGTTTTAAGATACCTTTGTGCTCTGTGCTAGCATGTAACAATTATACCAAAAAAACCCTCAAATTAGCATATTGCATACATGCAGGGTATGTTGTGTAAGTGAAGAGTGTGCTTAAGAATCCATTTTAATGGGAGATCTTTAATTCTGAAGACAAAACCAACAAACAAATCTCTTATCAACCTCTTTTTTCTGTTATTGGCAGTTTGGAATGTTAAATTTTTTTAAACTGCAATTCAAAAGGTTCCTAAGTATATGAATGGAAAAATAGGTAATGGAATTAGATATTGACAAGTGTTTTCCCATTTTCATTAAAATTTTTAATATAAATATGAGGAAATAAAATATTAATGAAGTAAAAAATTTTAATGGAAAAGTTTCAGCAGTTCAGTTTATTGTGATTATGCATAAACCCATTAAACTTTTTGTGCAATGGCAGCACTTAGATTTTTTTTTAAATGAATGAATTTCTTGTTGATGACAACTAAATGGTATCTTTCATTTTGTCATACAGTACATTCTATCCATTTACTACAGTCTTCTAATCAAATCTACAGTGCAAGCATAATTTTTAATGTAAATTGTACTTTTCCTGTATGTTTAGTTTGACACATTAAACAAAAATATTTTAATATTTGTAAGCTCCAGCTTTCTCAAATTGAGATCTATTTGTGCTAAAATAGGCCCAAACCCCATGAAAATGGATAATTACTTAAATTATCAGTATTAGGAATCATAATACAACTTAACAGGAATTTTTCCTTATTCTTTAACAGCTATTTTTAATAGTGGGTAGTATAAACCCCTAAGAGATGATTGGGAATTTTATGTGTAGTAATTGTTGTCACAGTGATAGGGGGCCAGCTGTCCAGATGTAAATTCAGTAGTTTCCCCAGATTACAATCTTTGTCTTAACACTTGCTTACATTACTTGGTACTTCCAATTCCTGATCTTCTCAGGGATCTAGAGAATAATTTGCCTTTTGCAAGCATTTTAAATTGTTGCTTGCTTGCTTTTGCTACATCAGTTACCACTTGTTCATCTACATTGTACCTTCTAAATATTTCTTTAAGTTACATATCCTCTGATATCTTCTCTCTCACTCTCTTTCATGATAGTTTTGTGTCTTTTTGTTTGTTTGTTTTTAATTCCTCTGGTGTCAATTCATTGGTTTCAAAGGAAAAAAAGAATACCAGGTAATCTGCTATGCTTAACAGTTCAAGTGGAGATAGTTGGTATGAATAGAGAGTAGGGGAAATGTTTGAGATGTTTTGAGTAATAATAATGACTGGCTAGTGTACTGACAGTTTATTTCTACTCAGGGCTAGATCTGCTAAACATACTGCCATGTATAATCCCACCCAAATGCCAATAATGCCCCCATTTAGAAACAATGACCTAGTCCAATTCTGCGTTACCTGTCCATCCCAGCTTTAACTCAGTGTAAATAGTGTTTAGACACTAACTTTTCTATATTTGAGTAATATGTAAGCTTGTTAATTAACATTTCTTACATTAAGCTTTTTGAAATTAATTTTCATCAGAAATAGTGAAAGCAACATCATGGCTCGTTATCATTAAAAGAGGAAGAAAGTAGACAGGTAGGGTAGCACACACCTGTAATCTCAGTGACTTGGGAGTCTGAGGCAGGAGAATCACAAGTTCAAAGCCAGACTCAGCAACTTAGAAGGGCCGAAGCAACTTAGTGCAACCCTGACTCAAAAAGTGTTGGGGATATTGCTCAGTGGTTAAGTGCTTCTGGATTGAATCCCCAATATCAGTTTAAAAAAAAAAAAAAAAGAACATATCAGATAAATTGTTTTCTTACTCTAGCATTCAGCTTTGCAAAATGTTTTTACTTTCTATTTACAGATATTTTGGTAAAAGACCTCAGTGGGATTATAGAGGGGCATCAAATCTTAAGGAACTTCACCATCTATTAAATGACATAATGATTAGAAGATTAAAGACTGAAGTTTTAACCCAGCTGCCCCCTAAAATCAGACAGCATATTCCATTTGATCTTCCCGACAAAGCAGCCAAGGTGAGAACCTTCATTTGATTGAAAGTCATTGTAAAATCATTTTAAATTATACTATTAAAGATTGTACATATTTCACAGAAGGAAAAGCCTGCTTTCTTAAAATAGGTTTAATTAATAGAGCATATGAATTGATTTTGTATCTTTTCAGGAAGAGTATGGAAGAATTTAATTTTAGTTATCAAATATGTGAACAGATATAGTAACCTAGTGATTAAAAATATTTATGCTGAATATAGAAAAAAAGTACTTCAACTGCAACAAAGATTTAGCAGTAAGAATTCAAAATGTCTATAATGTGAGACCCAATAATAAAGAAAATTGTTTTTCTTGCTGTAGAATTTTTTTAAAGTGTGAATAGATGTCTTTGAGAATACCGTAAGTGTAACCCTACTCTTGAAATCCTCAAACTCTGTAATTATATTGTAAGATGTAGCATTCAACATAGCAGAAAGCCAAAAGTGTGTTTTACCTAAACCTTATGTGTATTTACTTTTGAGGAGTGCAATGTTTATATATTCTTTAAATTTTGCAAATCTGGACATGGCTTTGGGGGCAAGGAGCTTTTATTATATCTTGAAAACTTAAAGTAAGCATTTTGCAAATATGGAGCAATGTGTTATTTCTAAAATAAGAATGATCCAATTTTCTTCACTTTTTTAGCATTAGAAAGAAAAATAAAATGATACATCAACTTATGATTGTATTTTATTTTTATTGAACCACTATTCTCCAAATCTTTATGCTTATTTAAATCTTATCTTTTCGTAAGAATATTTTACAACCATATACATTTTAACCACCCTGCTTTCCTATGTGTTTAACTTTTTATTTTCACTTTACAAAATATTTGTCCTTAAGATTGGTTGATTTATGAAGCTAGCAAAGGCACTTGTATCTTATCTTTCTTTCTTTTTTTAATATTTTTTAAGTTTTGGATGGACACAGTATATTTATTTATTTATTTTTATGTGGTGCTGAGGATTGAACCCAGTGCCTTACACATGCAAAGCAAGCGCTGTACCACTGAGCCACAATCCTAACCCTGCATTGATGTTTTAAAATGAACACATTGGCATCTATAAGAATTTTCTTTTTGTTTTTCTACTCAGAAGAGGAAAGAAGTAGGACATGATTCATGATCACATTAATTGTTATGTTCTTTATGCTGTATTCCTAAATAATTTTATTTTATCCCACATAGGATTTGAATACCAGTTTGGAAGAGTGGAAAAAATTAATGAGATCTCCAAATGCAGGTGGCACAGAGACTGTTCTGGGCTTGATTACTCGCATATTTAAACAGACTGCTATTGCCAAGGTACCTCATTGTTATGCCATCAAACATAAATTTTTAATATATTTTAATGTTATTATTAAATAGGTTTTTATTAAGTAGGATCTACTGTTTTGGGAGTGGGACAAGAACAAAAGCTGTCTACCCTAAGGTATGGGCATCAAACCCTATTGGAACTCAGGACCTTGACATGATATAAGGGAAAGATCTATTACAGCTGGACGTGGGGCTAAAACTTCTTCAGGACCATCCATAGAGAGAAGACAGTTTGGGTGGGGGTGGGAGGCAGAAAAACTAAAAAGTAACACGTGTAAGGCTTAGCTGAGTTGGTACCAATAGATTTGAGATCTCCTGTGCCCCACCATGAACTCAACACTGAAATATCTTCATAATCTACCACTGGAGGAGAAAGAAAGCCTTCTATGCAGGGCTGCTGAAAAACTGACAGTGCAATTATAACACACTATCACAAAGTAGAAGCATCACATTGCTAGGGGACTTTGAAGTTCATATACTAATGGTAAATGTAACAACAAGAGAATCTAAGCAGCACCCCAATTTTTTTTTCTTTTGATTTGTTCTTTTTAGTTATACATGATAGAAGAGTATATTTTAACATATTTATACAAACATGGAGCATATCTTATTCTAATTAGGATCTAATTGTGGTTGTATATGATGTGGAGATTCACTGTGGGGTATTACATATGTACATAGGAAAGTTAAGTCAGATTGATTCTACTGTCTTTCTTATTCCTGCCTCCCTCCCTTCCCTTCATTCCATTTTGTTTAATCTACTCAACTTCTATCCCATACCCCTTGTTGTGTGTTAGTATCCACATATCAAAGAGAACATTCATCTTTTGGTTTGGGGGGGATTGGCTTATTTCACTTAGCATGATTGTCTCCAGATCCATCCAATCCATTTTCTGGCAAATGTCATAGAGTCATTCTTTCTTTGGCTGAGTTCTATTCCATTGTGTTTTCATACCACATTTTCTTTATCCATTAAATCTGTTGAAGGGCACCTAGGTTGGTTCCATAGCTTAGCTGTTGTGAATTGAGCTGCTATAAACATTGATGTGGCTATACCACTGTAGTAGGCTGATTTTAAGTCCTTTGTATATATGCCAGGGCGTGGGATAACTGGGTCAAATGGTGATTCCATTCCAAGTTTTTAAGGAATCTCCATACTGCTTTCCCATAGTGGTTGCACCAATTTGCAGTCTCACCAGCAATGTATGAATGTATTCTTTTACCTATATACTCACCAACATTAATTGTTAATTGTATTCTTCTTTTTATTATTATTAGTTGTTCAAAACATTACAAAGCTCTGGACATATCATATTTCATATGTTAATTGTATTCTTGATTGTTGCTATTCTGGCTGGAGTGAGATGAAATCTTAGTGTAGTTTTTAATTTGCATTTCTCTAATTGCTAGAGATGTTGAACATTTTTTATGTATTTGTTGACCATTCATATTTCTTCTGTGAAGTGTCTGTTCAGTTTCTTTGCTTATTTATTGATTGTTTTATTTGGTTTTTTTTTTTTTTTTTGAGTTCTTTATATATTCTGGAGATTAATGCTATACTGAGGTGCAGGTGGCAAACATTTTCTCCCATTCTGTGGGCTCTATCTTCATGATTTTATTTCCTTTTTTTGAAGAAGCTTTTTAGTTTGATAACATCCCATTTATTGATTCTTGCTGTTTAGGAATCTTGTTGAGGAAGCCGACATGATGGAATGTTGGGCCTATATTTTCTTCTATTAGGTGTAGGATTTCTGGTCTAATGTCTCGGTCTTTGATCCACTTTGAGTTGACTTTTGTGCAAGATGAGAGGGGTTTAATTTCATTCTGCTACATATGGATTACCAGTTTTCCCAGCACCATTTGTTGAAGAGGCTTTCTTTTCTCCCATGTATGTTTATACCACTTTCATTTAGTATGGGATAACTGTATTTATGACACCTCCCAGTTGACACCACACTTACTGCATTGACTCAGCCCTCTACAGTCTTATACTGTCACCCTAACAAAAAGCATGACCAGTTCCACATGCAACTATCATTTACTCAGTGTGCATTGTTCTTCTATGTATAATTTCTAGCATTCAGTAGAAAATGTGAAATAAATGTAAAAGCCACTTAAAAAAATCCTAATCTATTGTCAAGAGATAAAACAATCAATGAAGACACATGTTAAAATGATCCAAATGGTAGAACTATTAAACAAGGACATTAAAATAGCTATGAATAGTATGTTAAGAATCTAATAAAGGCTGAGGTTGTGGCTCAGGGGTAGAGCAGTAGCCTAGCACACGCAAAGCACTGGGTGTGATTCTCAGCACCACTTAAAAATAAATAAATGAAGGTATTGTGTCTATACACACACACACACACACACACACACACACACGTGTGTGTGTGTGTATAATATATGTATGTATTTTTTTTTTTTAAAGAATCTAATAGAAGCCAAGTGTAGTGGCACACGCATGTGAATCTCGGTGGCTCGGGAGGCTTAGGCAGGAGGAGCCCTAGTTCAAAGCCAGCATCAGCAATGTCAAGATGCTAAGCAACTCAGTGAGACCCTGTCTCTCAATAAAATACTAAACAGGGATGAGGATATGGCTCAGTGGTTGAGTGTCCCTGAGTTCAATCCCCGGTACCTAAAGGGGGAAAAAAAAGAAAGAAAGAAAGAATCTAATGGAAAAGATGTAGGAAGAGATGGAGAATTACAGAAGTTGCATGAAAATATAAATTTAGTAGAAGAGAAATGCTTGAAATAAAAAACAGTATCAGAGATAAAGAAAATGTATTCAATCAGCTTATAAGCTAACAGTAGAGGGTGAGGGAGGAGGAAAGGGAAAGGAGAAATACTAGTTAACAATATTGGGATTCCAAGATGGAGGGCTGGAGGGAGGCAGCATCCTGTGTTGCTCCATGACTCAGATCTCACCTAGTCGGAATACTGCATCTCAGAGAGTGTAAGAGAACCCCTATACAGCTGATTTCCTCAGAAATCACCAGCACTGTGACTCCCACGCAGGGCTCAGAGCCTCAGCATTTGAGCAGGACTCCAGACCCCTGGCTCCCAAAACCCAAAGCCCGCGCTCTGCTCCCACTCAGGTCACTCGGCTACTACCTACCCACAGCACAATGCCATCACCCAGCTCCCCCCACCTCACCAGACACCCTGGCAGTGGAAGCAGACTGACTCCATCTTGGATAACCTTTCTCACCATATTTGGTGGGGACAGCTCTCAGATCGGATCTCCATCTGGCCAGGTGCCAGGTATCCAACCCCTCCCCCCCCCCACTCCCCAGTGGTGATAACTCGGCACAGTGATTACTCAACACAAAAACAGCTTCCAGTTGGCAGGTGTGCAGTGCCACCAGGGCGCCGCCCACCTTGTATGAGCCTGGGTGTGAGGGTCCCGCAGGTGGGAACTGATAAGTGAGAGGGAATGGGACTAAAGTTTGGAGTCCAACAGAGAGACCAGGAGCTGGGAAATCTCCAGGCAAGAGAGGGAGACAGTACCGGGCGCTCAAGTCAGACAAGAGGTCCCAAGAGTGACCCGTGATGTGCAGTCTCTCTGCAGGGACTGGCAGGTGGCACTCCACACTTCCAGATGCCCTACACCAGGACCAGTCTTCCCACCCTGGTTACCTACACCATCCTGAGGGCAGAGACACCAGCTTAAAACAGACAAGCCACCTATTAGATGAGAAGAGAAACAGAACAGATACAGATCTCTAAAACTAGCAACAACCCTGGTTTCTTCTTTCGAGTATTTTTTTTTTCTTTTCTACCCCTCTATCCTCTGGCCCTCACATCCCCAACACATGTGAAACCAAGAACTTTGCATGAAATAGGATTTTGAGGACTGAGTCCTCTGAATAATATAATATAGAGGTGTTGTATATGCCCTTTGTTTTTCCTCTTTTTTTTCTTTCATTTTTCTTTCCTTCTTCAAATTTTACTATTTTAACATCTTGTATTTTTCTAAATACATATGTGTGTTTGTTTAATGTACTGTATGGTCTTCCCATGTACTTGTCTACTCTAAATTACTTGCTGTCTATTCTCTTGCTACTAACCATCTTCATTAGATTTCTCTTTCACATTTCCTAAGATATATTAGCTCTATGCCCTCACATCCTTCCTCCTCACCATATCGTCCTATGCCCCACCCTCAGTTCATTGTCCACCGTCAGAAACTGTAAACCTTTTTACAAAACTACTGATATTTTAGATAATAATTGAATCCAACATTTCGGTACATTGAGACCAAACTGTAAACGTCTTAATACAACAAATTGTTCATAGGTGATATATTGTTGATATTGGGATCTTGTCCTTCCTCACAAAGGAGGGCTCTCGGAACCCTACAAGAGCACTACAAACCTATAGGGTAAAAACAATAACACCCAAGACCCATAGAGCTGGAAAGGAAGACTCATGAGAAAAATGAAAAGACAAGAGAAGAAAGTACCACAAACAAATCAAGCAAGACACCACATCATTAGAATCATTGGCAGCCACAGCAGAAAAAAATGACAGAGAAAGAGTTCAGGATATACATGGGGAAGATATAAGAGAGCAAATACAAACAATGAAAGATCACTTTGACAAGGAGCTACATAAACAAATCCAAGAAGCAAAAGATCACCTCAACAGGGAGCTAGGGGTTCTAAACAAACAAACAGAAATCCTTAAAATGAAAGAAACAATAGACCAAATTAAAAGCTCAAATGAAAGCATCACCAACAGAGTAGACCACTTGGAAGATAGGACATCAGACAATGAAGATAAAATACATAATCTTGAAAAGAACATAGATCACACAGCGATAATGGTAAGAAACCATGAGCAGAACATTCAAGAAATATGGGATAGCATAAAAAGACCAAATTTAAGAGCTATTTGGATAGAGGAAGGCATAGAGGTCCAATCCAAAGGAATGAACAATCTGTTCAATAATATCAGAAAACTTTCCAAACATGAAGAATGAATTG